GCCCGGCAGTGGGGTAGGGCACGGCAGGGTGCGGGGGCGTGGGACAGAGTGTAGCCGTTGGTTGTGGGATAGGGCACGAGGCTGTGGTGCACAGCATGGCTGTGGAGCAGGGCATGGGGGAATGGGTAGGGCCAGCAGTGAGCTGGGCATTGAAAGAGGGGATGAGGACTAGGGGCTATGGGGTAAGTGCTGGGCAGTAGCTATGGTGAGTGGCTCTAGGACTGAGATAGTGGTGGGGCTGGGGAGAGATGGCGCTGTTGGGAGCTGAGGTGAAGACAGAGTCACAGGGTCTGTGGGCTGGGTCAGGATTTTGGAGGGCTGTTCTAGAGCATGGGGTGGGACTGAAGGTCTTGAGCCAGGGGCTGGCATGGAGCAGGGAATGGGGCTTCAGGCTGGGGGATTGGCATGGGATGCATGAGCTGACAGGGGCACGAGGCTGCAGGCCGTGGCACTGGAGGTTTAGGGTGCAATGGGAGCTGCTATGGGTGGTGCTGGGTCTGGCTGGTATGGTGCCAGTGGGAAGGGAGCCTTCTCCTGGCCTTGCTGAGATGCTGTGGTAGATGACTGATGTGCTGGCTTTGGTGGCCTCTGCTTCCCTGACTGCCCTCTCTGTAGTTTCTCTTCCTTTCCTGGCAGGCCTCGAGGCATTTGGTTTCCTTGGTTAATTTGTCTTTCTGCTTGGAGCAGCAATTTGGTGACTTTGTTACTTTAGGGAATTCGCTGCTTCAGGAACGTGGCTTTTTAAGGATAAGATGGCGTTGTTTGTGTTTCTAGGTAGTGGCTTCAGCATGTTTTGGAAAGGAGTTGAGAGAGCAGAGAAGGACTGCGTAGCCTACATTACATGGAGGGGTAGTTTATAGACCTTTCCGAGGACTGATGGCTTGTGAACTGATCCATGGTATCTTGGTGATGAGATGAGCTGGAAAAACGGGAAGATAAGCTGCTGGTCTGTGTAATGCAGAGTGAAGAAAATGCCAAGGAAATTCGGAGGAATTCACTAAACTGTGTGACATTCAAGATGTTGCAAAAGAGTTGCACAAAGCCTCTGATATATTTGGCATAGAGAGGGAGAAAGATAACCTTACAACTGCTCTTGTCATCTGTGGTCATGTTACAGAAGTGCCCAGAGAAACCTTTGTTTCTTCGAAGACGTACAAAGAGAAGAGCCGCCCCAGCCCCCTCCTCCTCGTCAGCCATATGGTGCTTGTGACAAACCTACCTTGACAAGCAAGGGAGCCTGCAAGTGTCCTTTGGTCCCTCTGACCTCGTATAGAATCATACATCAGAAAGTATTAAATTGCATCACATATCCTTGAGCGAAAGGGGAGGTTTTTTCCTAACTGTTGTGCAACTGTTGGAAGAAACATATTGAGCTTCTCCCAGGTGTTGGAGTACTAAATTGAGTGTAACTTGGCAAGTGGAAGAAAGGCCTTGGTGCTGTCACAGGCAGCTCAGGCTGCATGGGTCAGCGGGTGACAGAGGTTGAACTCGTTTTTGTTAAAAGATGGGGAGAGATGGATACTGCTGTTACAGTAATCCATCACGCGCTCCTTGTGAATGCTGTGCTCACGTTTTGAGGGTGTGGGGAAGACAAGAATGGAAAGCCTGCAGAAGTGATTAATGTCTAGAAGGACACTGAGTGAAAAGGGGACAGACGTGTCAGGAAAGGGAGCAGGTTGATTCCAAGTCATAATGCAGCAAAGGGTAAACGTCTGGCTTCTGTTTAGCTTCTTGGACTACAGAAACACCAGAATAGGAAGGCAGCCCCTCCTGGTAAAGGGAGTGCTGGAATTCAAAGTGTGTAATTAACCTTGGGGACATGCTGCTGCCAGATGTGGAGGCAGAATTTTCACAGGCTCGCCACTGTGCCTGCTGTGCTGATGAGGCAGGTCCAATTAGCTGTGCTTGTGCTTACACTGTGGCCTGCGCAGCTCTGCCTGCGAGAAGGGGCAGCGCTTGCAGGTTGCGCTGTTGGGGCTGGCATAGTCATTCCACGTGAGGCAAAGCTGGTTGCACCCCCAGGTCCCTGAGAACAGAGCAAGTTCTCTTGCCGTAGCAAGCGAAGGGGCTCCTAACCACGGGGAGCATCAATAGCTGGCTGTGGTTTGATCATTACACTTCAGCTCTTTCCTGTTGATTAGGAAACAAGCAGCTTTGTGTAGATGCTGCTTTCAGTCTCTCAAAACGCAGAGAGGTGGAGTGCTTGGCCACAGAGGCAGTGTTTGTCTCGGCCCTTCTCCACAGTAGTTCAGAGGCACGAGGGCTGTTCATGAGCTTGCAGAGTGGGATGTTGGGATGCTGGGTGTGAAGGGGCTGTATGAGCTTTCTCGGCAGCGCACTCTGCTTTGTGCTGGTACACAAGCACCTGCTTGCTGTTGCACTGTTGTTCTTCTGCAATAAATTTTGCCAGGACCTTACAGCTGTCGCTCAGGGCATCCCCTGTTCAGCCTGTGCCTGTTGACTCTGTGACCTGCTGGGCTCCTCTTCTTCCTCGCAGCTCCCCTTATCTGTTCTGTCCCTCAGTCCAGACTCCCTCTCCCTGCTGTGCCAAGTGGGACTGGAAGCTCTATCTTTGGAGCCAGGGCTGCCTGCTGTCAGAAAACACTGTCATCCCTTCTCCCACCCCGAGAGACTGCTCTCTGATGAACAGCATGACTTAATACTGGAATTAACTGCTTAAGAAGAACCAGTAAATGCTTGCAACAGCAGGAGACACGAGCTGAGACAAGGCCTGGGAAAGCCCTGAATGAAACCTTTAGGCTTCTGAGGGGGTGGGTGCCCTGTCAGTTCTGTAGGCAAGACTACAGCAGGGCAGAGGGATGAACACAGCCCCCCAGAAGAGCTCCTGGGCAAAGGCAGTGAGCCTTGGTGACTGGAAGGTGCTTTTGCTGTGGAGGAAAGTTGTTTTGTCCAGGCAGAGAGTGAGAGGTGCTGCTTGTTTCCCAGCAATGTTCCTTACCACCTGAGCTACAGGTTGGAGGGCTGAAGGTAAGGCAATCCCTTGCCTCCCAGCCCATGCATGACCACAGGGCACGCACAGAGCTTTCCTACTGGCAAGGTGTCACGTAGGTGGTGGGTGACAGGAGTGGAACACCTGCCCTTCTGCCAAGGCTCTAGTAGGATGCAGCAGGTCCTTACCAAAGCTGAGGAGTGACTCTTCCCCTAGTTGAGTTGCAAGAATGTTGAGGCAGGAGGTGAGTGAGGCAACCTGGCAGGGTGTCTGAGTCAGAGCTGGAAATAGACTCCAGGAGTCCCAATGCTTTGTCTACCTCAGACCACAAAGGTGCTTTTCTCCTTGCCCTCCATCTTGGAGGGAATTTGTGCAGCTCTTGCTTAGCATAGCGTGGAGGTGGTGGAACCAAGATGGGAAGCTGGGTGATCTCTAGTGTCTGGGGTGTTTGCTTGTCCGGTTCTCCCTTGGGAAGCACCTGGGAGCTGTTCTCTGTCTCCTCCTGGTTTGCTCACATTAGAGAAGCGTCTTTTGGCATTTCGGCAAAGTGGACCATAGCGAGGCTGCTTCCCTTGGGAGCTATGCATTGGTCATGGATGCAGCCAGGCTGTGGCAAGAGGGCAGAGGCAAAGCACAGGAAAGTTCACCCCTTGCTGCCTGTGCAGCTTTGATCCAGCTGAGGTAGCTCCCAGTTCCAAACGTGTTCACAGGCAGGGCTGTGAGGCAGCTCCACCAGCTCAGTGCACATGGCTCCTTTGGTGCTTAGCAAGGTGCCGGCATCCGGCCAGCCTTTCCTGCTGTGGTGCTGGGCCGTTCCCTGCATCTGTCTCCAGCACCATGCCTGACTGATGGTCTGGGAGTCTCTTTGGTTCACTCTCTTTACCTTCTTTCTCCAGGAGTGAAAGATGGAAGCTGGACTGTCCTGCAGCTTGTGGAAGCCTTGGGGTAAGAAAAGCCTTATACATGTTATACGTCATGTAAGAGCCTTGCAGGGGAGATTCCCACAAGGAGGGACAGTGGGAAGGAAAAGCGTGCATGCTCGTCCAGGATGAGCTAGCTTCAGTGCTGGTAGACACACCGCAGCACAGAGGCCTGTAAGGATGTTGCCCGCTCACAGCATGGGGTCCGAGTGGTGCTTTGCCCTCCTAGGATTTGCGATGTGTTTGGGAAAGAGCAAGACCAGAGCAGTTCTTGATGCTCTCAGAACCGAGGAGAGGTGTTGTGGCAGGCAGTGAGCCGCAGAGAACTTGTCAGTTGGGACTGTCCCCAGCAGGAGCTGCCTGAGCATAGCTGCATATCACCATGTCACGAGTTGGCTTGCACTCAGCTGTCGTGGCCTGGGACTCGGGGAGGCTCATTTCTACAAAGCTGGGGGCAGAGTTTGCCTCGTTGTGAGAGGCTTTGCCCTTTTTTGTCCCTCATGATCTTGGGAGCCTGAGTTTCAGGTGCAGAGCATGGTGCAAGAACAATTTCTTTTGTCTGACTTGAGAACTTGGATTTATTGCTGCATGGCTCTGGGGCTGGGTGCATATGTGCAGCACAGTCAGGGGAAGAAGAGTCTGCTTCCACCCTGCCAGCAAGTTAGGCAGGACTGGGCCACCGCCCCGCTGCCCAGAGAGCAGCACCTCTTTGTTTTTATAATGTGTCTGCTCAGGATGTGCTTCCTGCTTGGGTGTCCCTGCTCACAACAGGTCTCTTGGCCTTTCTCCCTGCTGGCGCTAGGTCTTGCCTGGAGAACACAGATCCTCGGACACGAGGGCGAGGCATCCAGCTGCTGTCACAAGTCCTGCTCCAGTGTTATTCCGTGCTCCAGGAGAAGGAAGGTAAGGGCTGCTCCGGGCCTCTGAGTGGCTGCCAGCAGGTTGGGGGCAAAGCCTGTGCCACTCGACTTGTCTGTCCTGCTGTTGGCAAAGGGCTTGATTTAGCACCGTGACAACTTTGTACATGTCTCTCAAGAGTCAAAGTCCAAGGAGGGCACAGAGCTTCACACTGCAGCCTTTTTGTGGACCTCACCACACAATTCGGGTCACTCCCTGAACACGCCAAAGCCCTGGGCTGCAGCTGGTGCCCCTGGCAGTGTGTGGGTGTTGCACACCCAGGTGTGCTCAGCGCCACGTGGGACGCCTTGGGGACACATCTGCATGTCAAAATCCTTGGGTGGTGATTCAGCGCAGGAAAACCATCCTTCACAAAGCGATTCATGCCTCACCCCTGTGGCCTGCCCAGGTTAACTCTGGGGGAACCCTGGGGCCTGGGGAGGAAGGGAGATCAGTGTAAGGATGAGAGTGGAGTGAAGGACTGGGGTGGGGAGAGGAAGATGCCCTGTTCATGGAGGCAAGGAGAAGGTTTGGCTGTATTAAATGCCCCGTAGCAACTGGCTGGTAGTGGGGGAAGCCAGTAAGTGCTGCCAAAGTTTGACTTGGACTGGGAGCCTTGCTGGTGGGTAGCTGAACCTGTGCCAGCAGGCTGGCAAGGCAGGGGGGCGCAGCTAGTAAGTGAGGTGAAGGAGAGGAAGGATAGGAGTAAAAGGTGCTTAGTCCTTGGTGTTTGGCTCTCTGGAAGTCTCAGACTGGTGCTAGGCAGGGCTGAGAGCAGCTGTGTAGAGAGAATACACACAGACTAGCTACTAGTGTAGCTGGAGTCAGGTGTGACGACTGTGATGGGTGCTGGGGTGCCCACTCCAGAGGGGCAGCCGGAGGTGGGGAGGTTCAGTGAGGATGCCTGGCAGAGTCAGGGCAGTTGAGCGAGCTGGGTTAGAGCCAAGTCACTGGGAGCTCTGGAGCAGGGTGGGCAGAACCAGCTCCCTGTCAGGTTACAGGAGGCTGCTGTGACACCCCCAGCTGCCCCCGTCTCCCTTCATGGCCCTCCTCATGCAGCTCATTTCTCAAGTGCTGCGTCAGGCTGCCTCCTGGGGGGGTGAGTTTCTGCAGCAGCTGTGGGCGCAGGATGCTGCTAGCCGGCTCTTCCAGTCTGCTTCCTGCTGCCACTCCCCAGGGATGGGGTGTGCAGGCGCCCGTGGCCGTGACTCAGGGGCCGGGAACGTGTTGTGGAGCTGAGCGCGGGGAAGCCAGAGCTCCTGCTCCAGCCCTGCACCCCACCCCACAACATCCTCCAGCCTCGGCTGAACAGGCGTCTGCTGCTTCACTGCTGGTGTCTACCTACGTGTCTGGACAGGCCAGGGCAAATCCCTCTCGGGTAGCTCCAGCACCTCTGCAGTGGCCAGAGGTGGGTGCTGCCTCGCTGCGGTCAGACATGGGTTGCTCACAGCGGGGAGGGCGAAGGCTTTGGAGCCAGGTGGGTGCACCCAACGGTGGCAGTTTATCCCATTCATCAGCACGAGATGTGCTCACTGTTCATCCGGCAGCTGCCTTTTGACAGAGCTGGGGCTGGCGCCCAGCAGCTGCGCTTCCCAGGACTAACGCACATTGGTGTCTGTTTCTGACAGTGCTGCATCTGGTCTTGTTCTATGAGAACCGGCTGCAAGATCATCACCTCGTGATCCCCTCAGTGCTCCAGGGACTCCGAGCACTGGTAAGCTCACGTCCCCCAGCCCACAATGGTGCCAGGGAGGTGCAACACCTGGGTACAGGTGGGAGCAGCACGCTGAGCAGGGTCTGGCTGGGCTGTCAGCCCTGGCCTGGCAGCATTGCCCTGTCTCCTCAGTGCTCCTGCTGTGCCCCTTGCAGAGGGATGGGGAAGAGGAGACTGCCTTGATTTCCTGCTCCGTGCTGGTGTTGAGGCAAGGATTCCCTGGCCACTCTAGGGAGCAGCACAGATAATAGGCATCTTGTCCTGCCCTGTCTGTGGGGGTAGTGAGCTCTTTCTGGCGTAGGAGAGGATCCTGCAGGTGGCTACTGTACAGAAGCAGGAGCTCTGTTATATGGTTGCCATCACGGTTTTCTATTCTTGCTTTTCTTTTCCTGTCCCCAGAGCATGTGTGAGGTGCTGTCCCCAGGACTAGCGGTGTCTGTGCTCAAAGCCATCTTCCAGGAGGTACATGTGCAGGTGAGCAATGCGATTTCCCATCCTCCCATCCCTGCTCCTTGCTCCCTAGGTGTCTGGGGATGGCCTGCCTGCCCTGAGGACTGGGCATAGTCAGCAGCAGTGCAGTGCTTCTGCTGAGCTTAGAGACAGCATGGCTCACTGCAGAGTGAGAGGTGGACAGCAGCTGAGGATCCTGTTTGGCCCTTGTCCTCTCTTCTCTCAGCCCTGGGGGAATTATTTCCTTTGCTCTATTCTCCAGACTGTTTTTAAGTGCCCCCAGCCCCCAGATTCTCCTCCAATTTAAAATTGTTTACACTGGCAGGGCCTTGGGTAGCATATGTGGCCCTGGTGTGACTGTGACGCTGCATTCAGAATGGACACAGTCACATTCAGGTGCCATTGCATAGGCATGTGCACACATTGCATGTGGTAAATGAGATCTGTGTGCTAGGAAGCAGCAGCTGAGCAGCTGGGGGTCCTGCCCTCTTCTCAAGGGCATGTGCTGCCCTTGGGTGGTGGGTAGTAGTGCTGCCATATGTGGAAGCTTGTTTTGATTACTGTGCTCCTCCCTCCAGTCCCTGCTGCAGCTGGACCGCCACACCGTCTACAGCATCATCACCAACTTCATGGGCACCAGGGAGGAAGGTGAGGGTGCAGGTGGCAGAAACACTCTGGGGTTGCCCAGGCTGGGAAAATGGCACTTTTTTGCCTTCTCCGAGGGCTCTGTTGCTCTGCCTGGGGAGAACTGGAAGAGCTGTGGAGCTGGGAAAACCGGCCTGATTTCATGCCATGTTGGTAAGGTCTGGTGCTGTGCTCACGTTCCCTCGTTCTGCAGAGCTGAAGGGCCTGGGTGCTGACTTCACCTTCGGCTTCATCCAGGTGATGGATGGGGAGAAGGATCCTCGCAACCTGCTGGTGGCCTTCCAGATTGTGCGTGATCTCATTGCCAAGAACTACTCCTTGGGTGAGCCTGTGCCTGCTGTGCAGAGCTGACTGGGAGACATGTTGCTTTTCTTTGACCTGTTGGAGGGATAGCCTTTGGGACTGACCAGGGCTGGGGTTGTCCCTGATATGCTTTAGGAGCTGCAGAGCCAGCCTGTTGTGGGTGCTAGGCATGGCTGCTGTGCCTCTTTTGCCCAGCATCTCTGCTCACTCCCTCTCCTCTCTTTGTAGGTCCCTTTGTGGAGGAGCTGTTTGAAGTGACGTCCTGCTACTTCCCAATTGATTTTACTCCAGTGAGTGAATCTGCCGTGTGCCACAGCCTATTCCTTCTGGTGTTTTCTCACGGGGTTGTGTCCCCTCCAGGGAATGGGAGGAGAGGGTGGGCAAGAATCTTGGCTGGGCAGTGTTGAGCTGTGAGCTGTGGTACCCAGGCTGACAGGCCAGTGCCAAGCTGGTTGCAGTGACTGGCATTGCTGCTGCCTTGCTGGAGAGAAGGTGATGCAGCTTGGCTGATGACTAGGTTGGAAGGTTTCCTGACTGGTGACCTGCTCTCTGTGCATCCCTTCCAGCCCCCCAATGACCCTCATGGCATCCAGAGAGAAGATCTGATCCTGAGCCTCCGGGCTGTACTGGCCTCCACGCCCCAATTTGCTGAGGTAGGAAGCTCCTAGGGATTTCTTGAGCACCCCATTTTTCTGCATTTCATAGCACTGCAGCTCTGGCTGTGGCTCTGTGGGATGGGAACAACTGGGACCAGGAGGCTGTACTAGGGCAGCCCTGCCTCCTGGGCCTAGGGAGGGTGCTGATGCTGACACCCTGGGGAGGGGCTGCCTGTTGCAGATATCCCTCACCTCTGCTCTCCTGGCAGAGGCTGAGCATGCAGAAGGTGGTGCAAAGGGTGGGCTGAGTGTAAGTGCTTCTCTCTGCAGTTCCTGCTCCCTCTGCTCATTGAGAAGATGGACTCAGACCTGCAAAGTGCCAAGCTTGACTCCCTGCAGACTCTGGTAAGCAGGGATTCCCTACTCCCTTTAGCCCATAGCTGGCCCTGCCAGCCAGAGACTCTCACTTGCAGAGCCACAATTTCCAGGGTCCTAGTTTGGCCTGCATCATTCTTTCCTCTTTTTCTTCCCCTTGAGTGGTTTGTGCAGATCAGCACAAGCCTGCCAAGATAGGCAGTCCCTGCTCTATGTCTTCCCAGTACTGGCTTCTCTCTGCTTTCTCCTGGCTCCCTCTTGCAGACTGCCTGCTGTGCCATCTACGGGCAGAAGGAGCTGCAGGAATTCCTCCCCAGCCTCTGGTCATCCCTGCGCAGGGAGGTGAGTACTGCAGGACCCCTAACAAATGCTCCACCACAGTTGGGCTCCTGCTGAGGAGGAGTTCACAGCCAGACCAGGCCGGCCCCATATCTCCTGGCAGACCCCACTTGGGGCCTTGGACAGCCCCATCTGAAAAGAGGGGTGACAGGCCAGCTCCATCAGCATGTCCGCGGTGTTGGATGTGCCACACTGCATGTTTGAAACACATGGGAAGCAAGGCGGGAGCCTGAGCCCTTCAGCCCGCGTTGGGAGCATGAAGCCTGCAGCTGGGATCAGCATGGAGCTTAGCGCACCCTACGACCTCTCCTGTAGGTGTTCCAGACAGCAAGTGAGAAGGTTGAGGCAGAGTGCCTGGCTGCACTGCACGCCCTCTCTGCCTGCCTCTCCTGCTCTGTGCTCAGCTCTGACGCCGAGGACCTGCTAGACTCCTTCCTCAGCAGCATCCTGCAAGGTAGCTAACAGAGGGACCTACCCTGCCCTAAACCTTCAAGCATGCTCCTGGCTAGAGATCTGACCTCCTGTTCTCTTTGAAGCATCTTTCTTCTCTTTCTAGCTCTCATAGCCACTGTTGGCTTTTCCAAGGGAATTGGCTGCAGGAAGGGAGGAGAAGGGGACACAGTAGGAAATGGCTATTGGATTGAGTTGCTTTCCTCTCTGCTGGGATTGGGACATCCAAAGCTGTGCTGTGGGCTTGGAGCTGGGGGAAGCAGCTCTGTTGGGGAGGTGCTGCTGCAGCTCATCTCAGAGCTGCGCTCCGGCAGCATGTCCCAGCCCAGATATCAGCTGTGTCCCCGCACGCGAGGCAGAGGAGCTCTGCCGGTGCAGCTGATGCCCAGCCTATCTCAGATTGCAGGCACCATCTGTGCGAGCCTGACATGAAGCTGGTGTGGCCAAGTGCCAAACTCCTGCAGGCAGCAGCGGGTGCCTCCCTCCGTGCCTACCACCACGTCACCCGCAGCGTCCTGCCCCTGCTGCTGGAGCAGTACACCAAGCACCCGCAGGTGAGGGGCACCCCGGGCTCTGCAGTCACAGGCAGCAGGGCTGAGTGCACCCACTGGCTCTGCAGGGCTTGGTAGGAGTGGAGTGTCTGGCCCTGGCTGCAGGTGGGGACCCTGTGGGCATCCTCTGGCCTCGCAGCGCTGGGTTGAGGCGTAGCTCTATCTCAGCAGTGACGGTGATCTGAGTTATGTCTTTGTGTCCCTGCAGAGCAGCCAGAGGAGGACAATCCTGGAAATGCTGCTGGGCTTCCTGGAGTTGCAGCAGAAGTGGGGGGATGTGGAAGAAGGTGAGGCTGGCTGGTCCCTCTGGAGCCATCCATGTCCCAGGGGGCTGCTGATCTGACCTCACCTTCCCATGTGCTGACAGAGGAGAAAAGCTCACTGAGCTGGGTGGCTGCATGTGCAAACCCCTGCCATGTCCCAGGGACCCTGCATGGTTGGGTGTCAACCAGCAGGGCCCCAGGAAGGGTCTGTCAGGTGCTGTGGTGGTGGCTGTGCAGTGACAGCCAGGTGCAGGCAGTGACTCCATGCCTCTCACTCCAGATGAGAGCGCTCTGCTGTCACTCCGAGCCCCAGTTTGCTCTGTGGTGTTTTCGGCGCTGACGGATTCCAGTGTGCAGCTGCAACTGGTCGGGATCAGGGCACTGACCGTCCTGGGCTCTCTGCAAGGTTGGTGCCTTGTTTCCCTTGGGGAGACAGAGGGAGGTGTCACCCTATTCTGGGAGATGTGGTGCCATGTGGCTGCTGGGATGTCCTTGCCTGCTGCCTGTAGGTTCACAGGAGCAGTGGCAGCATTTTCTACCCAGGCCATGAGCTCCAGGGACACTTGTTCTCTCTCTTGCCTGTTCGTGCTGGACACCTTGTGTCTGTGGTGTTTGGCATGCTGCTGCATTGCTGCTAGCCTGGACGAGGGGGAAGGATGCTGGCCAGAACACTGGCAGCTTTGCCTGTGGCCAAGGGCAGGATCCCTCTGTGGCTCTTGTTGCAGGCTTCCTGTCCCCATCCGACCTGGAGCTGGTTGTGGATCACCTCATTCATCTCGCTCTGCGTGAGGAGGATTCCCAGAGCAGGTGAGGGTCGGGCTGGTGCCACTGCAGTCACCCATGCTCTGGGGAGAGGAACAAAGCCTGGCTTTGCTGCAGAGAGGGGCTGTAGCCTGGGGGAAGGCACAGGAACTGTCTGAACTAAAAGACCACGTGGGTATAAGAGCAAAGGGATAAACCAGGTGATTTCTGGGCTGGAAATGAGAAAGTCTGGGCCTGTCAAAGTAGAAGGTTCTGCTCTGCCTGGCAGTAGGGTGAAGAAGGCAGATTTCTGAGAAATGGATTTCTGAAGCATCTTCTGGCCCAGATCTTTGCAGCTGCTGTACAAGCAGCCCAGGGTTTGCAGTGCTTACACCACCCCTCCTGCTCTCTTCCCCCCTGGCAGTGAAGCAGCAATGGAGGCAGCCGGATCTCTGGCCCCCATCTACCCAAAGGTTTTCTCTGGACGCATGGTACCCAAGCTTGAAGAAGAGCTGCAGTCAGGTAGTGCTGGCAGCCTTGGGAAGGGAGTGATGTCTGCTTTCAGGGTGAAGCCTGTCCCAGCCCCATTTGGCTCCTACCAGACAGTGGAGCTGTGCCACATGGCATAAGTCAGTGTCTCTCCTTCTTGGGGGCGTCCCAGCACAGGCACTGTAGTGCTGGCACAGGGAAAGCTGTGCCTGTTGCTGGCAACCAGCCTGTGTGGGCAGGATCACCCTTGCAGTGAGGAGCTGCCCAGCCACAGAGCAGGCACGGTGCCTTGGACCTGGCATCTGCTAGTTCTGCCGTGCTTTTTCACCCCATCCAACCCGGCAGGGTCTGGGCCCTGAATGCCCTTGGGTGAAGGCAGCCTGAGGTCACCCCAGCACCCATCTGAAGTGTGTTTTCTCTTCAGAGCGGGAGGAGGAGAGCTCCCAAGACCACTGCTCCCTGCGACAGCGCTGCCTGCAGGCCCTGGCAGCCGTGTCCACCCACACCAGCATCGTGAGGGAGACTGTCCCTGTCCTGCTGCAGCATCTCCGGAAGGTGCAGAAAGGTAACACAGCTTGTGTTAGGCAGCTCCACAGGGCGCATCTGGGTAGGAGCTGGCTGCGTTACTGGGGACAGCTGGGAGAGAGTGGGGATGGCGGTAGGGCGAGGAGCCCAGGGCTGGGCCTTGAATCCCACCGCTGGAGTGGGAGGAGAGAGGGCTGCATAGATGCCGGCGCAGGTCAGGGGGTGGGTGCAGTGGCTGTTTGGTATGATGATGACTGTGCCCTGCAGGGAGCGAGGCCAGGAACACCCAGGACATGGTCTCTGTGTGCCAGAGCCTGCACCGCGTGGCCCTGCAGTGCCAGCAGGACACGGAGGGCTGCTGGTACTACCACCAGACAGTGGTGCCCTGCCTGCTGGCTATGGCCGTGCAGGCTGCCATGCAAGGTAGGTGCGGGGCTGGAGCAGGAGAGGGGAGGGTAGGCAGCTCCCCATGCTGCCAGAGGCAGAGCAGCCCTGCCCCAGGGCCAGTGTGGGTGAGAGGGCTGTGCCTGCCTCCAGGCAGTGGGCTTCAGCGTGTGCTTTTCCTCCCACTGCCTGCAGGGAGCACCCACCCACTGCTGGGCAAGGCACTGCTGGAGGAAGAGGTGCTGGCTGCCATGGTCCCAGTCATCAGCGCTGCCACCACTCATCTGAGCCCTGAGTGAGTGATGTGGGGTGGGACACTGGGCACTGCATTGTGGGGAGGGAGCAGGCTGTGTCCCTGCTGTTGCTGTCTGTTCTGGGGATCCTGCACCTCCTGGGAGGTGCACAGGAGCTCTCCGGTGACCCTCCCAGAGCAGCACATTGCGATGTCTCCTTTCTCCTAGGCTGGCTGCTCAGAGTGTGTCTCATGTGGTGCCCCTCTTCCTGGATGGAGAGGTCTCCTTCCTGCCCCAGAACAGTTTTCCCTGCTCCTTCAAGCCCTTTGAGGTGTGTTGGGTGCTTGGGGCTGGGGTGTCAGAACAGGGGCAGGGAGTGAGGATGTCAGCACAGGCTGGCAGCAAGCACCATGATGACATGGGTGCTGTTCTTCCCCTGCAGGATGGGGAGTGCTTGGAGGCACAGAGACGCCTGGTTGCCCTCCTCATGGCCTTTGTCTGCTCCTTGCCCCGCAACGTAAGTTGGTGGGAAGCAGGGTCGAGAAGGGGCCCTGACCAAGCACCCTCCTGCCCGGGTCGACAGCAACCTCCACAGGCAGAGGAAGGCACCAGCTGTGGCGCTGGGCTGTAACACACTCTGTGTCTCTTCCAGGTGGCAATT